GGCGAGCCCATCGTAAAGTCAAACATCGCGAACTAAGTCGTCCTAAGTTAGGGACCATCTGCACATAAATATGTGGCTCATATCCACACATGCATATAACTTGAGCTCAGGAGTTCGAGACCAGCCTGAGCAAGAGCGAGACCCTGTCTCTTTTTAATTTAGAAAAAAAAAATACATAATTCAGTTTCGATTGTGTATTTTTAAAGTGTACAGCATGTTTTGATATACGTATACCTCGTGAACTGATTATCCTCTTTTTGTGCGTGTGGTAAGAGCACCTAAAATCTACTTTCCTGGCAAAATTTCAGCGTCGGACGCAATATTACTAACTGCAGAGCAGGCCAGCAGGCTGACTCGTCCCACACAACTGCCAGTTTGTGCCGCTGGCCTGCGGCTCCCACTGCCCCCACTTCCCCACCCCAGCCTCTGGAAACCCCACGCTGCTCACTGTTTCCAGGTAGGATTTTCCTTTTATTAGATTCCACACGTAAGTGAGGTCATGCAGTATTTTGTTTCTCCGTCTGGCTTATTGCCCTTAGCATAATGTCTTCTAGGCTCATCCATAGAAATGAAAGGATTTTCTTTTTCAAGGCTGATAGCATACCGTTGTGTGTATACACCGCAATTTCTTTATCCATTTGCCCACCACTGGACACAAGTTGTTTCTGCATGGTGGCTGTTGTGAACAATGTTACAGTAAACATGGGTGAAGCTGATGTCATTTCCTTTATGCACATAACCAACAGAGGATTGCTGAGTCACGGACTAGTTCTATTTTTAAACTTTTGAGGAAACTCCATATTGTTTTTCATAATGACTGTACCAATTTACATTCCCAACATCGTGCAAAGCTTCCCTTTTCTCCACACCCTCACCAACACTTGGTATCTCTTGCTTTTTAGGTAACAGCCGTCCTAACAGGTGTGAGTGGTGCCTCATTGTCGTTCCGATCTGCATTTGTTTAGTGATCAGTGGTGCTGAGCACCTTTTCATATACCTGTTGGCCATTTGTATGTCTTTCTGGAAAAATTCAGGCCCTTTTCCCATTTTTTAATCGGGGAATCCAAAATTTTAAAACTAATATTTATCATTACTATGTGGGATGCACTGATTTCTTTTATTGTCTAATTTTTTTTTTTTTAAGAGACAAGACCTGTCTCTAGTGCCCAGGCTGGAGTGCAGTGGTACGAGTGCAGCCTCAAGCACCTGGCCTCAAGTAGTCCTCCCGCTCAGCCTCCTGAGAAGCTAGGACTACAAGCTCGAACCACCACACTGGACTAATTTTTCTGTTTTTTGTGGAGATGGGGGTCTTGCTGTGTTGCCCAAGCTGGTCTCGAATCCTGGCCTCAAGCAGTGTTCTCACCTGAGCCTCCTAAAGTGCTGGGATTACAGATGTGAGCCACCACGCCCAGCCTTCTATATTTTAAAGCTAGTTGCAAACCACTGACTGCATTTCACAACCTGGTCTCAGCTTGCAGTTTGAACAATCCTGGCTGATGTATAAATAGGTGGATGGATATAGATACACACACGCTGCTGTGGTCTGAATGTTGGCGCCCCCCAAAATTCACAGGCTGAAATGTAATCCCCAAAGTCATAGTATTAAGAGGAGGGGCTTTCAAAGGTCTTAAGCCGTGAGAACCACACTCACGTGACTGGGATCAGCGCCCTCGTAAAAGAGGCCGGAGGGAGTTTGTCTGTCCCTTCTGTCACGGGACGCAGCAGGAAGACACCATCTATGAAGCAGAGAGCCCTCCCCAGACACTGAATCTGCTGCTCCCTTGCTCTGGGACTCCGCAGAGCCACAAGAAATAAATTTCTGTTGTTAATAAATTACCAGTCTATTTTGTTATAGTAACCCAAATAGACCAAGAGACACCCACCCACACTCCTACACGTGTATGTGTGTGTATATATTAATTTACACACACGAACTAGGTCACAATATAGAATGTCTTTTCTTATAAATCAGGATCCAAAAAGTCTGAAAGCCACTGAAGAAGTGCAGTTTTCCAGTTAATATATATATAGCTACTCTTGTATGCCAGGAAACCCTCGATTCATCAAAAATGTTCAAGTTTTACCAATGCTAAAATTTTATGGACTTTGTCAATGAAAAAGATTCCCTATGTTTTTTTTACCTGTCAGATTAGCACAGATTAAAAATATTGGTGATCTCCAGTGTATGACTCATGAGCGTGTCTACTCTGAGGTCTCAGATTTTGCTTTGAGGAAATGTCCCCACGGCCCAGACCAAGGGAGAGGAGCGAGCAGGCTCATTCGACTCCAGCACCGGCTCTGCCGGCACCCCGGCTGTGTCTCTTGCAGAGATCCTGGTTTGCCAAGCACATGGGCAGGGACCAGGGTGCCGTTCGCTGGGCCCCTGCCAGGGCAGCACCGCCACCCCGTCCCTGGGTCTGGTCCCACGTGCCGCCCAGGTGAGGATGGCTGTGCTAATTCTGGTGTTCTTGTGGGGCGGCCCCGCTACGTGAGCAGCCGCCTTCGCTTGGTACTCCACTGAAGCACTGGTGATCTGTGCCTGCTACAGGAAAAACTGGCTTCTCAAAAAGATCATTTATTTGTCCCTAACGCCATTCCTTCTGAAATATTTTCAAGGATTTTAAATCTTTGAATTTTGGGGGATGCCAACATTCAGACAACAGCAGTGTGTGTGTATCCATATTCATCCACCTATTTATACATCAGCAGGGATTGTTCAAACTGCAAGCTGAGACCCGGTTGTGAAATGCAGTTAGTGGTTTGCAACTAGCTTTAAAAAATAGAGGGCTGGGTGGGGTGGCTCACATCTGTAATCCCAGCACTTTGGGAGGTTGAGGTAGGAATATTGCTTGAGGCCAGGAGTTTGAGCCCAGCTCGGGCAAATTTTATTTTATTTTATTTTATTTATTATTTTATTTTTTGAGATAGGGCTTCGCTGTGTTGCCCAGGCTGGAGTGCAGTGGCTCAGTCATAGCTCACCACAGCCTTGAAATCCTGGCCTCAAGCCATCCTCCTGCCTCAGCCTCCCAAAGTGCTGGGATTACAGGTGTGAGCCACTGACTGGCCCAGCCTAAATACTATTTTAATAGTAAACCAAATAAAACAAGGTGACTAGTATAATCAGTCCCGTCACCTGTCACCTAGCTTCAAGGATCATCCACGTGTGGCCAATCTTGTGAAATGTATATCCCACCCATTAACCACCCTCCTCCACTATGTCGAAGCAGACTCTAGACATCATTTCACCTGTAATCATCTCAGTATGTATCTCTAAAAAAGTGGAGTTTTTTTAGTCTATCTCAGGGTACTGAAAAAAAATTTTTTAAAAATTTTAAGTGGGATTTTTTTTTTTTTTTTTTTTTGAGACAGAGTCTCGCTTTGTTGCCCGGGCTAGAGTGAGTGCCATGGCGTCAGCCTAGCTCACAGCAACCTCAGACTCCTGGGCTCAAGCGATCCTTCTGCCTCAGCCTCCCTAGTAGCTGGGACTACAGGCATGTGCCACCATGCCCGGCTAATTTTTTCTATATATATATATTTTTAGTTGTCCAGATAATTTCTTTCTATTTTTCTCGCTCTTGCTCAGGCTGGTCTCGAACTCCTGACCTTGAGCGATCCACCCGCCTCGGCCTCCCAGAGTACTAGGATTACAGGCGTGAGCCACCGCGCCCGGCCTAAGTGGGATTTTTTGAAAACATAATTATAATATCATTATCACCCTATAAACATTAACTATAATTTTCAAGGATAATTTTAGTATAAAAGATTTTCAACCCTATGTGCTGACCCTAGGACCTAATGCCCGTCAGCCACGGCTCCTGCGTG